TGTCACACGCTGGCTTGGGTAGTCGGGGCCTTTGGCACGAAGCCGAGACTACACCAACGGAGCCAATTCAAGTTAACGGAGAGAGCCAAAAGAATAACTGGAAACTGCATCAGCAAAGGCCCTTCAAAAAATGCTCTCGAGAAAAAAAAGAAAAGTCCGAAAAGGAAAACAATTGTATCTTGAAAGCGCAGGAAGAAAAGTAGAAAGGTGAGTGATCAGGGTCAGCAACAGTCCTGATTCAGAGTTCAAAATGAAAGAATGAAAGTCACAAAAGGATGAAGGAGGGGAAGCTAGACAGAGAGACAATGAAGCTCATTAGAAAAGAGTATTTATGGAAAACACCGCTGAGTTATCTCTGTATGAAGCACAATGAACTCCACAGGAAATGCCATTCATTCATTTACTGTACGTGCCACGCGATTCAGGTAAAAAATAAGTGGCTCTTCTGGGAAGACATTGTGTTACTGCAATTTAAAGTCTCAGACTATATCTACAGTAACTCCCTCTTATGTTCCTTCTGTCTTCAGGACAATCAAGCTATATTCTTTTTATCATTAAGAAATGCACCAAAATCTGAAAGTGTCTCATCAAAATGTCTTCAAAAAACAACAACAACAGAAAGCAAGGCAATGTGTCTTAAAGGTCCAATGTGTGATAGAGGGATATATTAGCAGAAATGGAATATAATAAGAGAAGTATGTTTTCTTTGGTGTTTCATCACCCCAAAATAGGAATAGTTGTGTTTTAGCTACCTTAGAATGAGCTGTTTATGTCTGCATAGGGAGCTGGTCCTTGTCCATGGAGATCGCTGTGTTGCACTGCCATGTTTCTACAGTAGCCTAAAATGGACATACCAAATGCTGGCTCCAGATAGGGCCTTTGCTTTTTTGCACCAGCCCCCATAGTTAGTTGTGCCTTCTCTACGAGCTGAAAGAGTTGGGAAAACACAGATTTTCAAAGTGAATTATGCAGTGTTTTTACTGGTTTAAATCACCAGGTCAGTTTGTTTTAAGGAGGGGAAGACCTCTGAGGATAATTTGGCTTCTGGTAAAAACCTCCTGAACATCTTGATCTTAAAGTATCAGACAGAAAAAGTGAGCACACAAGTTATCAGAGATAAAGGGTGAGAACACATTAGCAGGTGCTGGGCTAGCGGTGTGTGCTTAAATGCATTGGGGAAACACAGATTTGTAATGTGAAACTACTTTATTCAGTGCTTTTTTTTTTCTGGACAGTGCACAGGATCCATACTAAAAATGTACGTACAGACAAAAGCCAAAAATGGCATACACCAAAAAATATTTGACAATTTCTACAATTTCTTCCACCTCACCATCTGCATTGCTAATTTTCTGTCTCTAGCATGGGTCAAAATTTTATAGATCACAACTTTTCCAGGTGAAGTGGTGCACACTATTTTCAGGCCCCATTTTGTGCGTAGGCAGTGTTTATAAATGAGACCCCTGGTTCGTTTGTATTGGGGAGGAAGAGACCTCTGCAGGTAATTCGGCTCCCAGTAAAATCTTCCTGAACAATTAATAAGTATTAGTTCACGATTGGCACACAGGAAAAGTTTCAGCTGGTTGCAATCTACAATCCCCACCACTAGATGCCACTAAATCCAACACACTGCTCCTTTAACAGATGATCCGGAGTCGTGATTAGTTCAGTGTCAACTGTCATTTTGATTTCACCTGAGATTTCAGTGCCCCCTTTGGCCAATTAGATAAAAAGAAGAGACTGAACACATTCATGAGGTGCAGCAGCCATTATGTAAAAGCCACTCTGTACAAGACATCAGTGATATGGTGTGTGTTTGCGTGGGCTGACAGATCCTTCTATGCATTGCGCTCAGCGTGCGAGCCTCTCTTTCAAACGCATCTGTGTTTTGCTCAAAGGCAATTTGTTGATGGTCTCCTCAGACCTAATTTGCTCTGCACGGGTCTGAAAATTTCCATAGCTCAGGCCTGAGCTCATCACAATTCTCTTGGATCAAGCTCTGGCAATATCAGGTAGCAAGTAAATGAATTTAATATTAGGGCTTCACACTGTTTCCCCAGCATGCTCATTGTCTCCCCAGCAGGCCCAGCTCTGAAAACAATCTACCTTCAAATAAACAGAATAAAGTATTTGGTGTCAAAAGGCATCGCAGATGGATGAAAGCAGAAATTTGTATTTATGAATGCTAAATTCCCACAAATGCCTCACACTGAACAGATATTTCCAAGGTTCTTTTCAAGCTGTTGTTCATTTCTAATGCATTGAGTCATAAAATTGAGCCGATTTCAAATCCATGACTCTTTCACTTTTCTAAACGCAATTATCTCAGGGCCATTACAGAAGTAAAAGTAATTAGGACCAGGATTTATTGGAATTAAGTCAGTCTTGGAGAAAAAAACCCCTCTAAACTCAGACTTATTATTCCTCAGTGAAAAGGTTTACTCACCAGCACTTACATCCATAAAACTCAGCAGTACCAGCTTTACCCTACGCACATGTGGAGCATGGTAATTAAGGCTGATTCATTGAATGACTGTGGTGGTGATTAGCGAATCACATCACCATTGTGTTACCCTCAGCAGAAAATATTGTTAGTGAGATATTACATTATGTGTTAAATTATGCTAATGAGGTTTTATCTACAGTACATAACTACTACCAAGATCAGCCACGTGTCTGAGGGCGCTGGGTGCAAGGTATAAGAAATATATAAATTGCTAATAGGACAAGTGTACTGAAAATAATTCTGAGTGACATGGTGGGTATTATTATTAATGTTATGGCACGGATGTACTGCTCTTAGTCATATTTATCATTACTCCAGAGTGTTATCACACCATTTCCCCCAGTTTTAATGCTACAAAGACGTACAGCATAAATAAAAAAATGCATCCCTATGCCCATTGAGTAAATAATTGATTTTGATGGTTTTGATTTGCTTTTTTCCCTTGTTGACTTGCGCTGCATGGAGATGTAAGAATAGAACCAGGCTGCATTACCTCATTAATGTCCGTGTCAACACGGAGGCAGACAGCAAAGACAGCTTCCTGTCTATCTTCGAGTCCTGCTCGAGTGACTGGCACTGCTTTTTCTAGAGAGACGCATGTGTTGGCAATACATAGTTGCATAATAAACAGGGATGATTGTCACATCCGCACTGATTTTTGCAACAGGGTCGAAATGGAATCAAAGTTGTGTAGAATCAAACTGCAGTCGGAGTTATTTTAAACTTGGTGCCGCAAGCAAAATGTCTCTCTACTCCGTCAACTCGAGGTCTGTTCATTTAATGACACTCCATGCCACATAGGGAGGTTTGCAAATTGGAGAAAACTGTATCCTCTTTTGTACAGAAAACAAATGCTGGCTTGAAGTCTGCATATCGACATGTTTTTATTCTGTGCGAAAAGGTCAGAATAATTACTTTTTGTGCTCTGCTTTGTGTTTTACAAAATCTCCAAACTTCAGGTCACAGTTAATAAAATGGTTAAATCACAGGTGTGACATTTCTATTATTTGATCTTAGCAGTAAAGTGTCAATCTCAGGAAAATATTACATTTTAATGGGGACTGTCATGCGTTCTCGGTTTCCAAGACTGCACAGATAAATCTATCCCCGCACCGTGCCGTTTGATAGCACAGTTAATGATTATGCAATAAGAGCAAGAGGCATTGTTTGAAGTACTGACACATTTCATAAAGTTTTTATTTTACATCTTTTTATTGATTTTACTTTGTTGTTTGTATAACACAGTACACACTCAGCATGGATCACATACCAAAAAACTCATTATAGGCAGCACAGTAGTTCCCATATGAATGGCTTCACAGTGTGAGTGAATATTTATGCCACTTGATTTCTTTCTTCCTAATCAGTCCCAGTGTTCCACCTGGAGATGTACACCACTGCCAAACTTTCTCTGCTTGCAACGCAGAACACTTTCACACAGAACTAGGAGCTGATGGCTCATTCTCATGTTTAAAGCTGTGCTAGGCAGAAATTAGGAAAAGGTGTCACTCAGCCCCTCCTCGCCCCCCTCACCCCCCTTTATCTCTCTGTTCATCAGACCACAAATTAGTCACCAGGCAGCAGTTTTGTCGATGGACCCTAGTTCAGTGGCCATAGCAGCTCAAATTCAACTGGCTCAAACCCTAGCACCAGGGATCACAGTGAGCTCGGTCTAACCTGTGTAATGGCAGCAACAGAAAGTTTGCTGAGCCGATGGGGAGTCAGTGGGACGTCTGGTCCTCCGGGGTTTGGGCTTGCTGAATTCAGGTTGCAGTTGCCGGAGATTGAGGGACCGTCAACAGAACTGCTGCCTGTTCTCCTCCTGGCGAGGTGGTCTTTAGCGGTGGGAAGTGAAGCAGAGGACACACTGGGGTTTGAGGCTCTAGCTAGCTAACATAACATAAGCATGAGCATGAATAAGCCGCACCCGTGAGCAGAAGGTGAAACTATAAGAAATAATTTTTTCTCCATCTTTGAAACACTTCACTGATATATTGACACATGTTTTATTGCATTTATTGTCAGACTCTTTTTGATAAGTCCATCTTCCCTTTTTGGATTGCTTAGCAGTAGGCAGTTGTTACCAATACACGAATAGCAACTTTTTCCCGCAGGATTTTCAGCCACTGAATTAGGCTTTTACCATCTGAAGGAACATGCACTAACATCTGAGTTTGTATAACAGCCAATAGGAACACCCTCTCTTTGAAATTACCTGTGATTGGCAGTAGTCTTCTATCAAGGCTACATTCTCTAAAGACTAGAAACAGAGCCAAGAGGAGGTGCAGAACTCTGGTGTTTTTCCAGATCATTTGAATTACAGTATGCTTAAAAGTTACTATGGGATTTTTGCACCATTGACACAAAAAACTGCCTACCCCAGCTTTAAATATTTAGTAATATTTAGTGATATTAGTAACTGAGTTTCCATCTTTTGTCCTGGTGTGAGATAACATTATGAGTAACTTTTCTTTTTGCCTTTGTTTCCTTTCAGGATGCCAATATGTTCTCTCTCGAGATGGCCGATGCCAAGCCGATGAACCTCATCCTCACATCGTCAGACACGGCCTACGGTCTATACAACGTCAACCCCAATGTTAACATTTATGTAAGTAACGTCTCTTTGTTTTTCAACCTCAGCTTTAAAGTTGTGCTCACGCTTGTCTGGGTTGATATGTGTTGAGCTCTTGTAAAGGGAAAACAAAATGCTGATCATGTGACATACTACTAAATTTCATCCATGTCTTACACCGCTGGATGTGATTCCATTACTCAGCTTGCTATTGGTGTAAGAGATTGTACACAAGAACTAACTAATCATGAAAAATTAAGTGTAAGTGGTTATTTTTTCAGTATTGTATAATTTTCAAATTTCTCCAGCTGTACTTAGCTTCTGTCTAGTGCCAGCTGTTTTACATACAGTCAAACTGCCACAGCTGTGCAGCTCTGGAAAGAGCAGCTTGAGTGAGACAATGAACCATGTTAGCTTTCCATAGATATTCCCCAGTGGCCACTCTGCATGAGGCAGTTTGTGTTTTTGTGTTTTTATTATCCGCACTATAAATCGGTGAGAGAACTTTTAGAGTGGCCAGCAATGAGGGGGGCTGATGGCATCGGCCGTAAAATTAATGTACCAGTAAAATTCGGCATTCTGACTTTTACACAGTGTCCTCAGATTATATCTGTGAATTAAATCTAGGGAGCCCAGCACACAACTTTTATTTAGCTGCCTGAGTGTCTAATTAAATTGAGGAATAATACTGTTATGAGGACCAAGTGTTGCTGCGGTTGTCACAGTTGAGATATTTTGTTTGGTTATTGCTATTTTGGTATTTAAACTGGCATTGATGATGAAAATAAGGAGGTGAATCAAACACAAAAATATTGTCATTGGAACAGACTACTGATATCTTCAGTTTGGCTGTGATAGAGAAGTCTCTAAATAGCCAGTCTTAAACCAGAAATTATGTTTAAAAGAACTGAGGTGTCCAAATAAATGAGATTGCCTCAAACTGGAACATTATTTCTGCTGTAAATTCTAAATATGTTACTCATGAAAGACCGTATTTCTCGATGAAAATCGAAATAGTTTCAGCTGTGGTCGAGACACGAACTACAGTTTCTATGAATAAGGAACCATATTGTGTACATTATAACTTTGTGTGTGTCTTAATGCCAGTCCAGGTGTGCTTAGGATTTTGTAATAACTACACATTATTATTGCAATATTTAACTGGGCCTATACAAAATGTCATGAATGGATTTTTAGTTGACCCACCTATTTCCTAAGAAAGAGGCAAACTCTAGCTAAAAAATGTAATGTACTGTAATTAAATTTACGCTTAAAAAGCCCTGATTGCCAGCCAGTGTGAGGGATGATAACATTTAAAAGGAGGAAGGTGTGAGAGGGACAATGAATCACTCTATTGTGCGGAGCAAATTACAACAAAGCACCAGGGAGGACGCCCTACCACCGAAACAAAATAGAAAAAAACACTGTCAGTAGACCGTATCACGAAAGCTACCTGTCTTTATTTTTTGGTATTTTTATTGTCTTATGTCGTGATAAGAGTGATGAAACACGTTATAGAAGCTATCGTGCACAGATATAAACACAGGTGTGCCTTGAGATTTTGGCTGGCCCTTTGGTGTCCCTTGGGCACAGAAAGTTTAAAAACGATTGCCTTGAAGCATCTCCAGTTGTTAAAGAACCCCACTACAAATGGTCCATAGGTTCAATAGGTTATATTATTGCTAAACATTTTCCAATGTTATCAGTCCGTGAAGTAAGCTGTTCAAGCCTCCTGTGCTGTTTTGTTACATCAACTCCATGTTACACATGTTGATGTCAGTTTCCTTTTGTCAAAGTTGTTCTTATGTACACTGATTATTATGTTTTTCTTACCTTGGAGTAGGGTTTCTCAAGGTTTTGATGACTGAGTCTCAATTTAGGCACTATGCATATGATTGAGGGCTGCAGAGGAAAAATGCAATTGTGAGCTGTTCATCCACATAGCTAACTTTAGCTAACCGCGCTAGCATTGATAACGGAATGTAATTCCCGCAACACTCACGAGGTGCCACTTGTCGCCATGCAACCAGTAGCTTTCTATGAGTTGCCATTCCTAACCTGACAGATGCTTTTTAGCGGGGCACAGTTCAATGCAGCAGCTGAGCAGTGTGTATTCAATGTCAGCTATTGAAAACAAAAGTATTGAAATGGTTTGCGGATAATGGATGCATTTCATGTCATGTCAGGGGCCGCACAAAATGTTTCTGAAGGCCACCATTGGCCTGTAGGCTGCACTTTGAGCAACTATACCTAAGAGGCAGTGACTGGTGTCAGTTCACATTAGTTCACCATGAAAGTTTAATTTAGAGTGGAAGCTTCCTCGAGAGGAAGAATCACAATAAACATTTTACAAGCTTTACTTCTCACCACAAACTGACAAACTGTAATTGTGTAAGCTTGGACTGATTGAAAGTCGTCTTGGGAAGACTTGAGATTTGACAGTCGGCTGCCAAACAGTAACCTTTAAAAACCAAAGAAACCACATTGTGTCTGTCACGACGTTGTAGCTGGTTGTTTGTCTTCCATTTTTTTTTGCACTTATGAGTGCTATGAGAGCTCATAAGTGCAAATCTCTTTGGCAGCTGACTCTCACATGTCAGAGCTTTTCTTACTGCACATGAATGCATCACTTGTCAGAACCATCTTTTTTACCCGCTTCAACACACAAAAACAATTTCATCCTGACAAAAAAAGTAAACATGAATTAATGTTTACTGTGTTCATAACCTATTTGTCAACTAACTCTCTTGCTGACATGGAATAAAACTACTGGTAGGCGTGCAAAAAAACAACAACACAGTACCAAAAATGACAGGCACAATTATGACATGCTTGAAAATGGTCAGCAGTTTTGTACATTATTAGCGGATATAGATAACAAGCTAACACGTTAAAAATAATATACACAAATAAAGTAAAAATCTGAGCTGACCTGTCACAGCGATGGAATATTTACAGGAATGTCACCAGTTACTGATATGCTGACAGCAGTGTGATCCCACATCCTGTATCATGTCCTGTCGAGAGCCTGGACAACATTGCCTGTGATTACAGGATGTTTTCGTGGGATGAGCTGTATCACTGGGGGATAATAGTGTTTTACTGCAGATTGCAGTGTAAGAGAAACAGCATCTGTTCTGCGTCTAAGAAAGTACGTCACCAGCTTGACAGCTTGGCTCAGTGTCACAATCACAGCTCTTGTTGGCCTTCAAAAGCTAGCCTCGGTACACAGGGTCGTTAAAAAAAACACGGAGACAGCAAGATTTTTGTCTGTTGTGTCGTTGTACTTTTTTCAGCATATTCTTTAACACTTTGTTATTTGCAAAAGCAGATTTTCCACTGTGTTTCACTCATTATGCAGTTTAATATACTTATTTAAAGCTATGAAATGCATCACTTTTTTGGATGAATATAAGGTTTTTGATCATGTGGAAAGTCGGAGCTTTGCATCTAAAACTTATCCGTCCATCTCATCTGATGGGAATTAAGTTTCATCAGCACTTTCTCTAATATCTTGTAGACAGAAATGTGCTTCTCTCTCAAAACATCTTTGAGTTCCTTGAACTTTACTGTGAGCCTGCAGGATATCAAACTGATTTCACAGAGACTAATCTTAGTTAAATTCCACTGTAATCATTAAAATGTTTGCCATTGTTATTTCCCTTTTTCTCCCCGTCCTCTGCCGGGCTCTGTCGTGACTGGTTCTCCCTCTTTTATTTCTGTAGTTTCCCTTCACGCTATATTTGATCTCACGTCAATCAAATATTAATGTAGAAAGACCAATGACTCCCTCAGGCTTACTTGGCTTTCACCATTTGTTTCTGTCTCGCTTTATGACGCAAGGACACACACACAAATAGTCACACATGCCAGGCAGGCCAGGAGAGGGATTTTCGTGATTTGAACAAACATACTTGATAAACATTAACAGGATGTTTGCCAGAAAATGCAGTTCTGCTCTTCGCCACTCTATTTTCACTTTTTTTCATTTATATTCATTTTGGTGAAATGCTATGAGCTGTGAAACTATTGTCACCTGGTCCAAATATCCATCCCAGCTGGCACTGGATGCCAGTATGATGTCAGAAAGACATTGGACTCCTACACTGGAGAAACGGTAAAATTTGGTTGGATTGACAGTTAGGTTGACAATATTTTTAATGTCTAGCAGTGTTAGAATTTTGAGTTGTGTGGATGTTTATGTGATAGCATTTTGCGGATGTTGGATTTTGTTCTCCATGCCTTACAATTAAATGGAGTTATTGTTCGTCGACATGACATTGGCGTGAGACATTCGGAAGACATTTAATTTTGGTGACCCAACAACACAACTTCAAATTAACAAAATGTCACTGTCATATGTTGTCAAGTTACTATTTCAAATTGACGCTGGTGGTAGATGTCCTGACATTGACTTTTGGTCACCTGATGTCACAACCTAAATGCAGCCAAATAATAATGTCTGACGACGTTAGTGGCCAGCTGGGATCTGTATGGTCATTGCAGTAATGTGTCTAAAGCCCCATTCCCACCAAACACTTTCAGTATGGTACTTTTGGAACCAGAAGTGACCCATCAGACGTGGTACCTAGACCCTTGGTGCGCTTAATGTTTCCACCACAAACCGTACTCTTTCATGTGGGCGGGGTTGTTGTCACTCACTGTCAGTCTGCACCTCGTTAATCGTCCACAGAACAAGGTTGCACGCCATTTTCAGAACAAAATAAAACAGGCCGCAGTGAGAGTCTCTCTCCATGGGATATTTAAAAAAAGCGGGTTTGTGCATTTAGTCCTTCTCAGGCAAGCTCAGGGGTTAAGTGTTGCCGTAGCCCACAGGAGTGACGCTCCGTGACGCTTATTTTTTTTTCTTCGATCGAGGATTAGGATAGATGCAGTTCACACAATCTGGTTGCAATTAATAAGTATTTTTAAACGCTTTAAGATCAACTTTACTAAGAGTGTAATCCAAGAGAGACAATATTGATTATGGTTATGGTCAAAGTAGTCACCGTGAAATTTAAGGTGTGCTGATGGATTCACATCGTCAACTCATGCATTGAGTAGCATTACAAGTTAACGTTCCACCTTAAAAGTTGCTGGCAGTCGGCCCAGTGAATTAAGTTGTTTTTTCTCAGACTACAGCTGCTGTGAGAGGCAGCAAAACAACCACAAACAGACTGCAGTGTTCACAGCGCCACCTTTTAGTACCAGATCTGTGTGCTCGGGACCCCAACAGAGGGGTGACCAAAAATTTGGACAGTACAGAGCGGTTCCATTAGAAACATCCACAACTTTTCACAGTGGAAACGGGGAAAAAAAGCATAGTGAGCTGAACTGTACCGTACTGCTCAGTGGAAAAAGGGCTTAAAAATAATTAAAGTTTGTCTAACACTGAGCATGTGTTGTGCATTTTAAAGCTCAAAATGAATAAAGAAAATGATTAAAACCAGCACATTTAAACATGAAATAAAATGGTGCATGCATGTGTTTTTGCATTAAAAAAACTTGTCCTAAAAATATTTCTGGTCCCCAATCTCATTGTACCATCCTAAATAACAGTATAGTTTCCTTCAGCATAATGAGCTGTTCTTGAGTGTCAGTGAAGATAAGTGTTTACAAAAAGTAGAGAGGCTGAACTTACACAGCACAGAAGAGGACAAATTGGTGTCGATTAAAATCTGTCGAAGGGCGAGCCCAAAATAAAACTGGAGCACATGTTTTCTGTCTTAGAACGGTTCTTTATTGAGCACATTTTTTATACATATGTCTAACTGCCTCTAAGCCTACTGTTGATAATCTCCACTATATTCCCAAAGCCCCTCCCCCGCCTCCTTATTCATGCAAAGCTTAATGTAAACTCCATTATTTCCCATCGGCCCAGACGAGGAAACAGCAGTGTCTAGTCGATGGGATAGATGTATATATTTATACCTTGTATGGAGCCAGATTCCAGCCGACTGTGGTGACGCACAAAGCTAAAAAAGGTCCCATTTCCTGGCCCCACTCAGGAAGCAAAGGAAAGACCATGGCTCCAACAGGGTTGTGCAACTGGGCTCGTGGACACTTAACCATAATAAACATTTCTTTTTAACAGCACCCTGCTCAGAGAATAGAGGGAGAGTTGGGTGGAGGGTAAAAAAAAGTATATTAGCGGGGAATAAGAGGGATGGGCAGGCATGTTTGATACAACAAAATGTGAGCAGACATGAGGGTGAATAGAAATAAATATAAAGCTGACTCACTCGGTTCTGTGTTATTGTAGCAATGTGTAGCAGACAGACTCATGCCTCTGAGGATATGGGTGATTGTGACTGTGCTCTTTCTGGAAATGGTATGAAATGAAACTCACTGGCATGACTTGGGCTCTACTTTCCAGATAAACAATGACTCCACAATTACACTACATGCTAATCACCATCACAACAATCTCCACAAGGAAGACTTCCCCACTCAAGACGAGGAGCTGGTCAAGTGGGCGACACAGAAGTTTGGGGGTGTGACTTCATTCACCACAATCCGAAATCTGATAGTAATGTCATCGACGGGAACAGATGGTGAGAAACGTTTGTGTAACTTCTGATATTTTACTAACATTTTTTTTTTACACTGACTGGGTTTCTCCTTCTGAATTTTGCCAGTTTGGAGGGAGTCAATTACAGGCTCTGGTAATGAATTGTGGATGCAAGTGAGACGGCGTTACAAGATTCTATCAGACCACCGAAATACTGCAAAGGGCTTTCTGCCTGCCTGAGAGAGTTTCGGATTCATCAACCTTGACACTATGATTTTTATCTAAGATATGCTATCTGCATCTTTGTTTGGTCTGAAACAGTATTTTTGGTGCTGACAAGAGCAAAGCAATTACAGGCGACACAACACACAGCTCCAGCTTACATAACTCAGCAGCGAGTCTGCAGCACAGTGATCACGGATGGATGCAGGGTTTGTTTCCAGAGAGCTCTCAATGAAATTAATCACTAACCTCCTTCTATAAGTGTGTGTGTGTCTGTATGAAATCAATCTCCAGTGGAAAACACTGCTCCTTGATGAAAGCATATTGCAATACGTGTTCTGTGTCTCACTTTTTTATTTTGATTTTTTGTTTTTAAAAGATATTACATTACAGTATGTTGCTTTTAACCTTTTTTTTAAACCAGAAAATATATAACTCAGCATGTGAAATCAGATGATGACTATGTACAGACTTGACTGAGGGAGTGACAACACCTACCCCCCAAAGCTGCATTAGGTACAGGAACAGAAGTCATGCTGTTTTAAAAGAAGGTGTGCGGGCCCACCACAGGCTGCCATATGGCCATTCTCTGCAAAGGCACCTTAAAACATTAGGGGAATATGTAGTCCTCTGAATTAAAATGCTGTGCTGTCAGAATTCTATATACTTAAGTATGGAAGACCTTTTCTGCCAGTGTGATGAAAAAAAATAACCTGTAAATTATTATAACTAGTCCATACCCATTGGTAGCTTTGTCACCTTTTACCTATGCCAATCCTCAATGCCTATGTGCAGTTTCACATAGATTGACCACGTCAGTGAGTAGAAAAACATGGGACAGACAGAATGACTGACTGACAGAATGACACACTGACAGTTTCCGTGATTATGTACAGCATACCATACCATGACTTAGTCATACCAAAAATTAGAAAAAAAAAACACGGAGGGAGCCACAGGGGGAGCCACAGCGATTGGTCGCATTTTAGCCATTTTTAAGCATTTTTCTGTTGTTATAGCGCCACCAAGTTGCCAATTAGAGTTAAATTTCTCCAGTCACCTTGAGGTGTCCTGTTCTACATATCTACCAAGTTTAGTAAAAATTGATATGGCGGTTAGGCCTAGATAAGAAATTAGCTCTCTAGCGCCCCCATTTTGTTTGATGGGGTCAATAATGGAGGGGTCCCCTCAGATTATGTGTGGTCATATGCCTACAAAGTTGCGTGGTGATCGGTGAAACCCTTGAGATGTTATACACCTTTATGTGATGAGCCACGCCCTCCGCAATATTCATTGCCTTATAGAAGCTCAGTTTTAGTAAGTTTTCCAACTTTTGCCAAGAGGGAACTTTAGATATTGGTCCTTAGATTATGTTCACCGAGTTTCATGCAGATCGGTCAAACTTCCTAGGAAGAGATCGATTTGAAGTGTTCTTCAAAAAATTCAAAATGGCAGAAAATCTATAAGCCGGAAGTTATGGGTTCTTGAGGCAAATGTGTTCCTCATGAGGAGAGGCATCTCTGTGCAAAGTTTCATGTCTCTACGACATACGGGGCGTGAGATATGCCCATTCAAAGTTTGCAATTTCAATCGGTTGCTATAGTGCTCCCCTTTGGCCAATTGATGTAATATTGCTTCATTCGCATCCTCCCATCACCCTCTACCACTGTGCCAAATTTCACATGGATTGACCAAGTCAGTGAGGAGAAAAACGTGGAACAGACACACAGACACACACACAGAGTTTTCAGCATTATATAGTAAGGTGAAAAACTTTCTCAAAACAATGAGTTAGTATCTGAAAATAATGAGAGGCTTTCTCAAATAAGGCCGTATGATCTCAAAATAACAAGAAACCTTTTGAAAATAATGAGACTTTCTCAAAATAATGAGTTAGTACAGGGGTCAGCAACCTTTTTGACATGAAGTGCCATTTTTAAATGTTCTTGTTAATCCCTGTTCAACACCAATATAATGTCAATCTCTTGCCCCTCAAAAAACTTCTCACCTTTTGTTGTTTGGGGCATTGATTTTAAGTAGCACAGCTTCTCCCTTACAGTCAAATCACAGTATCTTGCTGTGACTGCCAAATGCAGTCTGTCATTCACATCCACGCTCTCATCAAGCCCGATGCTAAAGGTGCAAACTCTGTGTGTGTTTGTGTGTCCCTTTTTACCACTCTGTGTTTCCTCTCTAAATTTGGAGGTATTTGTGGGTCTGTGAACGCAGCACAGAGCTCTTCATGAGTTCTGTTTTTCCTTGCCAGCAGTTGCTTAGTGGATAATTGATCAGTCGATCTGATCAGAGCTGGTGAAAGGAGCAGCTTTATGTGAGTTATAGCAAACTTTTAGACCCAACACAATGAACAGTTAAGTTTCCTTTTCACTGCACCTGCTGTTCTGCTGCTCAAACGGTAGGCTTTATATATGCCAACAGTGCTCCTTATGAACGGTCCAGCACCAAAAATAGAAAATCAATACATGGCAGCAGATGTTGTCATCCCGACGGGCCAGTACAAATAAATATGTGTGGGGAAACTTTGCACTTAAACGTTCCATTGCATACTTAGAGCTAGCATGCCATTAGGTAACTACGGCGTTGTCACCTCACACAAGAGGGTTTCTGGTTCAAACCTAGGGTGGGGAGTTAGAACCCCGGGGTGTGGAAGCCGGTGTCTGCATGGGTTTTCTCTGGGTACTCCGGCTTCCTCCCACAGTCCAAAGACATGCATATTAGGTTAATTGGTGACTCTAAATTGACCGTAGGTGTGAATGTAACCATGAGTGGTTGTCTGTCTATGTGTCAGCCCTGTGATAGTCTGGAGACCTGTCCAGGTTGTAGCCCGCCTCTTGCCTAATGTCAGCTGGGATAGGCTCCGGCCCCCCCGCGACCCCTAACAGGATGAGCGGTTACAGAAAATGAATGAATGAATGAGAAACCATAGCAAATTATTTTCAGAAAGTTTCTTATCATTTTCAGTTACTAAGTCATGATTTTGAGAAAGTTTCTCAATATTTTTAAAGTTTCTCATTATTAAAACTTTAATCACACTGGCAGAAATAGAACCCCCTACTTCACTGAATACAATTCCAAAAATCAAACATTGCTTCTCTCCCACTGTTTGCATTTTATATGTACACACCAAGACTGCTCAAACTTATTTGGACAAGTCTTAAATGTGACCATTCTAGACATTTCCAGGGGAGTGCTATGTGTACACACTAATCCTTTATCCCACACAGCAGTGACCTAAACAACAGCATGAGCAATTAGAGCAGCAACATAACATTTAATAACTAGAAGATCTATGTAGACTTGAACAAAGAACAAAAATAAAAGTGCTTTGTCAAACATGCAGCACTACGTGTGATTTTAAAGCTCAGTAAACCTTCCATAATGCTGCATATTTAAAGCACAAATACCTGCACGCTGACAAACCACCAATGCTGAAGATGGAGGCACAAAAACACTATGATTTAAAGTGAGCATCCATGGCTGAGTAAAGGCTGGACATTACGAATATTATTGTCTGCTCTTGCCAGCAGCGGTAGCAGCGGGATGCTCCATGCAAGCACAATTATTTCCTGACAAAGCCTCCTTAAGGCGGTCAGAGCCACAGCAGAGCTCTGACATGGGTTGAGATAGCAAACGGCGGTGATGCTGGAATAGTGGTGGCTGCTTTTATGTCCAGTGTCTTTCACGGTATTTTAGATGAATTAAGTTTTAACCCCTCTCTTGTGTGTCCTCCTCCACATCTGTCAATTATAGGGTGTTACAGTATGGCAATGACATTTTGCTCTCCTCTCATTTTAAATGTGTTTTTGAAATTGTGATGAAATGCTGTGTTTTCAGCCACTGATAGTTTTAGCTTGTGTTTCAGTGACTCATAGTCCACAAGGGCATTAAAATTACTCAAGCAGTGCTACGGTTTACATTGCTGTTTCGTTGGATCCTTTGGCCTGTATTGAGGTGTGAGGTGAACTTGCGTAGGCCTCTTCGTAGGCGTTTTGAAAAGTCTGTGCGATGACTACACAGCACTGCGTTGCCAAGTTGAAAGCTTGCTGAGGAGAAAATATGTAAATGTCCTTCAGGTTTCTTGAACGTCTCAATGTGATTTAAAAATTCAGGTCATGCTATTGCGAGTGCGTAAGAGGCTTGTTAAGCAGTGTTAAAGAAGCTGCTTTTAAATTCTACTTGCACAGCTGCAAGCCAGCAGGACTTATAGTAACTAAAAGTAGCTTGAAGTGATACAGCCCTCCAAATCCTTCTAGTTGCAAATGCTTAGCCCCCTGCAGGCTTGGTTAAAAGGACTTGGTTATAAGAGCTGGTTTCATCTATGCAAGGATGATAGCAGCGGTCAGTTCGAAATGATCAATGTACAGTAATGGTAACAAACTTTCACAGTAAAAAAACGGTCTCTGAACATACCTCTAGCATCATCCACTTCTTTTCCACTGCTTACACTCGCTCGCACTCTTAAAAATAAAGGTGCTAACTAGAATCATATATGGTTCTTCGGCTCGTCACCGTAGGAGAATCTTTTTTGGTTTCTGATACAAGGGTTTCAAGGTATACCGTGGTTTGATAATTGATAGATGTCATACCATTTAGAGTTGCTTATCTATGGTACAGAAAAAAGAACATGCAATCAGATGGAGAATCTCACCTTCCCGTGCGGATCTCCTTTCATCCTCAATAGTTACACATACTTCTTTTAAAAAAATGATTAGATTATAATAAGATTTTGTTATATTACCACTACTACACTCAAATTAGATGCGAACACAAAATGCCAAGTACCTGGCATCTTTAAAAGATATGGTAGAATAATTATTTGGCTGACCATGTGGTATTCTATGGCATGAAATGATGGTAGAGATATCAGCTATGGCAGAACACAAGTAAAATGATTAAGGGCATTTTAGATACATCTACATTTAAAGTTACCATGTGAAACCCGGGTTTGAATAGACTTAAACACCTGTGCTTTCAACAATCCTTGAAGAACTCTTTCTTCCAACAAATGGTTCTTTGGATGAAAAGGGTTCTTAATGAAACTCTTAAGCCCAGTTCAGACCAAAGATTCACAACGAGACAAAACTGTGTTAGATCATTGCAGAGAAAAGTTGCAGCGGTGTGAACTGGCTGGTCTGAGTTAGACTCAAGCCAGCTGATGGTGTCACCTGCAGCTCCACTGGTCAAATCACCGGCGGCTGGTTTTTAGAACGTTAAGCACATCACCTGTTTTAACAGCCAGTTGACTTATAGTGAAGTGTGTTGTGCTGCAGAAGGTGCTCCGTCCCCACTGATCCCTCTGATTCCATCCACACGGTGTACTTTTTTATTTACAGATTAACTGGCACTGGTTCTTTATATTATTGTGTCACATTTATGAATACAGTCCATCTGATGCTCGTTTTGTATTTTCAGAAGCTACAAATTCTATTCAGGCACAAAATAAGCCTGAAAAGCTAGAAATCAAAACTGAAGTATAAAGAATTGTTGCATAGCGATGATACACTGTTTCATCTAATTGCATTGGTGTGAACCGGCAGCTATTTAGAACATTGCAGAAGGGCGCATTGCAAGTATTCGTTGCGAATCTTTGATCTGACCTGGGCATTGGTCTCACAAAGAAGCCTTGAAAAGCCCTTTCTTTCCAGTAGGATTATTCAAAAGCAAATGTTTCTGGGTAGAACCTCAGCCCATGAGGAGGAACCCTTTTGGAACCCATTTATTATTATTTCTGTTGCAAACAGTGTTCTTGTCAAAATGTGGCTCAGTTATGCTGTTGTGTGTCTTTCATGCTGCTCAGCATACTTGTTATGATGGGGCTATATGAGGTGCTGAGGAATATATCACCCCAATTTCCAGTGGAGTGTTCCAAACCAAAATGTGTGTAGCAATTTGAGCATTGCACCAGGGTGCACCTGTAAACCATCATTCACCATTATTTGGTCAAAGGCTGAGCATAGCGTACTCTCACGGGACTGCTCCAGGAACATCTCCCATAGCGAGGAGAGGCGAGGTGCTAATGTGCCTGCCCCAGCAGTTTGGTCTTCTGCTGCGGGCTGGGCTATCGCTCCCCAGTGCTGGCCACCAAGAAAAACACTGTAAACTGAATTTCTGTCAGCAGCCACACTGAATGGAAATAGTCTCCCAGAGCATCACTCTCAGTAAAACTACCCTGTAGAATAAACATAAAAAATAGGCTTTAATTGCTATTGCTTATTGCAGCCACAACCCCTCTGCCACAATTAAGCATTTTAACAGAATTGCTGTTGGTTCATTTTTTGGAGCTGTTGTCTTGTTTATTATATGACATTACAGATGCAGAAATAATTTTATTACTCCTGATTTCCCCAGGAATGTCGTTTTTTGTTTTGCAAACAAGAATGAACAGTAATGCGAAATGAATGTTTGTGGTTTTACAGGAACCAAACCTGGCTCCCGCAACTGCATACTTAAAAATGAAGATGCATTAGAGAAGCACTTTATGAAGATTAAAACAGCACCCCTGGCTTCCTCGTTCAAATCTTGCTCCCCACAGCAGCAGACACCCAGCGATGCCGAGCTTCACATCATAAACATCCCAGAGAATGCCAGCGTTCGGTAAAAACCTTGCGATTTACAAGACGTAGCATCTTATGTATTGTTTTCCTATTGTTGTCAGGCAAAATTTCCCTCGTAACTTTTGATTCTTCATATTGCAGCAATGTGTCACTTCGCATTGACGCTATGAAGACTAGTGTGTTCCTGAGAGGCCCTCAGGGCACCACATGGATCTTCCTCAACCCACAACACGCCCATATTTTTGTAAGTTCACACATACACACACTCTGGTTATAGCACAGAGAGTTAGCATGTTTTAAGTATCATAACCATGTCAGATAAGATTCATTAACTCCACTCTGTTACACTGTTGTCAATCATGTGATTTAGCTCACTTAATAACACAGTTAAACCATAATAATCTTTCCTATGTACGTGAGAACATACCTATTATTGAGTGACTACTTGTGAAAGACAGTCTCCAAGTCATTACTGATTTATCTGAACCCATCTTCTCTTTCTACAGTCCAACAATGACATCCTGCTGCCCACCATCACACACAAAATCCAGCCTTTGTTTACACTGAACAGCGACAATGCAGATGATGTGCAGAGGACGGCTTTGGATCACTTCAAAGCCACTACTTTCACCAGCTACACTGAACTCAGACCAGAGGACTCTGCGGTTTTACTGGTCCTCGGAAGAAAAGACAACCCCGCAGGTAAGACGATAAAAGGTAAAAAAGTTGTTTTCAACTTTGAGGGATTTTGTGCAAAGAGAGTCAACTCAGCTCTGCAGAAAGCCACAGCCCACGCATAATACGTTACATAATGCCAGCAGTGAGATGGGAAATTTGGAGGATAATGACAGTTTTAATAATCGTAAAAGTAATATTCTTCATTATCATTATTACATTCAGTATATTATTTTACATACACAATGTGATGTGCTGCAGTTTTAATATCCTTTTGAGTTTTTTAAGTTCTTAGTATTTTGCCTAAATCCTATAACTTTAAAGATTTTGTATTGAGGAGGGTAAAGAGTGGTACAAAAAATGGATGCATGTGGTTTATCTTTTGTTGATCTTTTTTAATTTCACTTGTTTCACTTCCAGTTCTAGAACCAGCAACAACACCCGCCGCTCTCGTCACAACCAATGCCCCTCATCAGATGCCACTGCTGATGCAGCTATACACATCCCCAGACTATCGTTCTCCCCTGGACTCTAACACCAAGGTGCAGAGTGACAAGAGAATTTATGCAGAGGTAAGAAATCATTCATCCTCTCAGCTGTATTTCACGTCCCCTCACTCAGCTCCTGCTCAAAAACAGCTAAACATGGGGGATGATGCAGAATGAAAAGACTTGCTCAGCAGCTAATATACAATATTGATCAGTCATTTCAAAATCACTTTGAAAGGCTTATGTGCAATACTGTATTTTGTTCTGAAGTACAGCTCAGAATTTTATACTCATTGCAGAGCTTTGATTGGGCCCTAAAAATATCAGGCCCAATCCTGCATGAGCCCACATAGCAAATTTCCACTTTCATTTTATTTATTTTTTTTTTAAATTTTAAAATATTTAATACAAGCTGCATTTGTAACACAGGGTGCGTTTGCAAATAGCCACTCACTGGACACTTTGGCACAAACAAGACTGCTCATAAATCTGGGATACTGTTGGAATACACTATTAGATTCAGAGCACCACACTCTTGAGTGCCAAGCGCAAGAAAAAAAATGTAACTTTGTATATTCAAATAGAAATACAACACTTTAAAGGTCCAGTGTGTAGGATTTGGGGGCATCTATTGGTAGTAATTGAGTATAATATTCTTAGCTATGTTTTCCCGAATGTATAATCACATGAAACTTGGAATCATGTTTTGCTTTTGTTTTTTGTTTTTTTTGGTTACCTTAGAATGAGCCGTTTATACCTAGATATGGAGCGGGTCCTCTTCCAAGGAGTCCTCCATGTTGTTCTACAGTAGCCCAGGACAAACAAACCAAACACCAGCCCTACATAGGGCCATTTGGGTTTTTGGGTCAGCCATTGTAGTTCTCACATTCGGTTCACGGTAACGCTGCAGTTCTGCAACCTCACCACTAGGTGCCTCTAAATGCAACTCACTAAACCTTTAACAGTGGGAAAATTTGAAAGAACCCTACCTGATTCAAGCACGTGGGAATGTTGAGAAATTACAGCCTGGCTTGGGCTCAATCAGAGCTCTAACTCATTGCATTTGTAGCATGTTGCCAAACTCAGCTAATAGTGTTGCAGGATTGCGTCTTAAAACCCAGAAATGAGTTAGTATTTTAGCACTCCTGGTTCCCTCATCTCAGAGTCAATGATGTTTCTGAATGGGTTTTTGGTTAGATGCTTGAAATAAGGTCTGTTGTTAATAAGTAGCTAAATGAGACTACAGAACGTCATCTAGCTGAACATGGCTCTACAGCCTTGTTGTGGTGGTGATTGTTAGCCATGCAACTGTGTAGTATTGTTCATTTACAGCCTAACGTTAGCTTTTTACCTCTGGCGATTGCATTTGGGCTTCAGTATGTAGCTGTTCAGTGCTAGTATCATAAACTTTTGTTTGCCACAGACTTTATTTTCTGCAATAATCCAAAACCCAATGAGAGTATCCCTCTGGCTTTTTGCCAAGGGAACCAGGGCGACACTATCGTCTGTGTCAGCCCACAAAAAACTCCATAACTGCAGCACTCTATGCCCATCTGACAGATTTTTGTATTTTTTCCCATTCTGTTGGTTTATTTGCTCTGTCCTCTGTTTCCTGTAGATTTCAGGGCACACTTTAGGGGATATTGTCTTGACCATCAAGGTGATCAGCTGCTTTGTGCGCTCCACGGGATCATGCCCTGTAGAGAAAGAGCTACCCATCATGCCAGAGGCCTGCTCTTTAAATTCTTGTCCCAACAGCACCCGACTCAGCTTCTCCTTAGATCAGCTCCAAGAGCTGACGTCCACCACATGGGACCTGGAATGCTCTGTCAAACTCTGCTACAGTGAGGTAGGAGTGTATCAACTTTTTTAATGCTGCTTTAAAAAAATGTTGCATAACAAAATACAGCCTGTGTTAAAACCTCCCTTTGGTTGTGTAGAATATTTTGTGTTGAGTGTCTGTGTAGATCTGTGGCAGTGGGAGCTTTTATAGCCTAAATGCAATTTTTGACACACTTATGACATTATGAGTTTTGCTGATAAGTTTTTTCTCTCACCGCTCTGCTAGAAATGTGGAGATGGAGGAAGAGTGAAGAGGAATCTGGAGGTTACCCAGCCGTGTCTGCAACCACCAAGTGAGTTCAGTTTAAACTCCAAAATATGAACTTTTTTTGAGTCAGATGCTACTTAAGCCCTCACTGGACCAAATCCTGACTTCTTTCTTTGCTCTTTTCCTACACTAACTTACTCTCTAAAACTTTCCAAAAAGGAAAAATATATACATTTCTTGTACGTCAGATTGTTTTATAACTTTATTCCTGCAGTCATTTTGTTGTGTAAATGTAAATGTGTAAATATTGTAATGTAAATGTTACATAATACATACAATAAACAGGCAGTTCAGTGGAACTAGAGAGTTAACAACAGCTATAAGAAACATTTATAACACCAGTAAGTGTTTCATCCTTTTTTTCAGTTAATTTCAACAAAACAATTAGCAAACAAACAAAACATACTGCATTCACATTGAGCTCCAGTCCTGAAAATGATCCATACAAAAAGTTGTCCTGAAAAGGTGTCATTTCTTGACAAAGCCTCACTGTGAAGATGAATGTTTCTTAATTAATTCTCTAACAAGAAACTCTCTGAACTCTCAGTAAAACTTTTGAATTACCTTTTTTTTTTTGCCCTCAGGTCTTAATTGCTAGGCCGGTGCTTTGCCATTTGAATTGCTGCTTGCTGCTATAATTTTCATTCCAATTGTTGCTTTCAGTGCACAACAAGTGCTGCGCAGGCGGTTGTCATAACAGTGAACTTAGGATATTCAGTGAAGCCAGTGAGGGGTTGCGGGGCTGGGCCTCGTCCTTTAGGAAGGTCTGCAGGCTGACCTTGTGGCCACAATCAGAAGTAATGGCCCTCAGGGGAGGGAGGTGAAGTCCTTTGTGTTTCCAAGGTGGTCTGACTGTGTTGCTATCCAAACACAGCCACTGGGCCGGGTGCTATTGTCAGACCATTCAACACAGAGGAGTCAGACGAGGAGAGGTGTCTTTTCTTCGGGGAAAGACAGACAGATGATTAATTTCTAGGAAAATTCAAATGATTCAGTCTGAAAATGTCACAAGGAAGTAGGTGTTGATTAAATGAGGAATCACCTGGAATTTGTCAGACTTCTTTTGTGAAACTGATAATGGGTTTGTTTATTCCTTAAGCTTCTCTTATCCTCAATTTCCGTCTAGAGGAGACAGATAATGATTGGTATGTTAGACTAAACTACTCATCCATGCTTTCCTGTGTCCTGTTTGTCCTCCTCTTTGCTGTTATGCTTTAACTTACGCAAATCAAATCGTCTTCCTGGAGACTGAAATACAGGAATAGCACACAGTTTAAAGGAACACACTGGTGCGGTGGGTCCGTCTGTGTGGTTCCATTAATTACCCAGTGTCAGCTATACACGGGTTATATCAGCGGGCCTAGCAGACCGCATTCTGTCGCGAGCCGTCACCGGGCAGGACTGAGTGCTCCATTCAGCGATCATTCCTGTTTGGTAGTTTTCATACAGAGGGCTCCAGGGAGTCACAGCACAGGCCTGCTGTCTGCCTCCTCCTCTCCACCTGCACTGGAGCTTCTGCTTCCTGCTCTTGTTTATTCAGCTTTGCTGTCAAAGCCTCACTTGTACAAACTAACACAGTGACTGATTAGAGAAAAAAAAGTCTCAAGAGAAAGCCTGCTGGAGTTGCTGTGATGTTTCAGGCTCATTTGGGGTCAAAGAATGTTCCTCACTGACAGATCAACAAACTGGGTTGGCTGTCTGGGATGCAGTTGGCTCAAGTGCCCACAAGATGTCACTGTTTTAGTGTTCTGGGTCATGTTTAATTCAGTTAATATTTGTTGTTGTTTAATCAAATATCAGCATTATAATATTTAATGTAGTCATAGTTTGACTAGAAATGAATAAACAAAACCCTCATGGAATCGCTTGTACAATATCAGGCTTTGTACTTTCTTAATGTCCATGCATTTCAATAGAAATGTTGCATGTTCTGATATCAGCACATCCAGAAGTAGTTGCACTGCACATTATTCTACACATAAACTCAAATACACATGATGCACAGAGTGGTGGCAAGTTTCTACAAAACAAACCCGCTGTCTCCTGTCCTTCATGTCCTCTCTTTAATGTACCTCAGGAAAGGGGAGCTGTATTGTATGAAGCCCAGTATAGTACTTAGCCTAGCACACTCCACCAGGAGGCAGGAGGCAGGAGGCAGCAGAGGCAGGTGAGAGAAACTCGTGCAAAGGTGATGATTAGTTTCTTCCAAATGTTCTAGATTCTTGTAGGAGGATCTCCACAGGTACCAGAAGAAGGGGAGAGGGAAAAGCACGTGTTTGTGCACTGTTTCTCTTTATATGCAACAAATAGCGTGCACACACAGGCTATGTTAGGTTCTGGTGGGGACTTCTGCAGGTTCATTGGCATGGTTTCAGACAAAGTGATGTGTGTGTGTAGCCTTGTAGAGCCACAGGACATTCCCAAATTCAGTGTTTGGAACAAAATTGAAAGAATTTGGCAATCAGTTTCATCCAAGTCAGATACAGATATCATAAAGCAAACTGCTCTCTTTGTCAAAAGTATTTAAAATCTGATCCTGGTTGAGGTTTTTTCAAGGATCTGAGAAAATCAAAAGCAAATAAATCAATAACTGTGGAGTTTAAGATGATGTCTGAGTGAAGAGGAAAACTGTCAATGATCTATTGTACAGCCTTCTCGAAATGACGTCTATCTCAAGGTAATCCATTCATGGCCTTGCCAGACCACAATGAGCGCAGCAGAACTGTGGGATGGCCTTGCCAGGCTAGTACTGGATGTCTGTGCCACAGCGCTGTATGTCATGGGCTTGAGTGAGTTTCAGTATTTGTCTGTGCCTTTTCACTTTCAGAGCTGATTTAAAGTAAAACTATTTTTTATTGCTGCTGGCCCCGAATTTTATGATTTCTATTAAGTTTGTCAGCGGTGAAGCACGTCCGTCGGTTCAAGTGAGCACACAGAACATCACCAATGCCAAAGCTGATTGTAAATTGAAATTTGTATCATTAAATTAAGACAGAAACAATCAGCACAAATTTACTTTTTCATTCCAGTTTGGCGGAGGTCTAACATTGAAAAAGTAATGACTGGTATATTTACTGCATTTTGATGGTATTGCCATGGTAACTAGGAGTGGGAAAAGCATAGCATTAAAGGACCATAGCTTGATATTTACATTACTGATAGTCGTTTTAGAATCTATACCATCAGTCTTTAAATTGATCGATCTTTAAATTGACCTTTGAGGTACCTGTTGGTTTCGGTAAGGTATCTTTCCATGTTAGAACCATTTAGGTGTCCCTTTTCGGCAGAGATTCATTGTCATTGCATGGTTATGTAGTTGAAAGCAGGGTTTTGTTGTTTTGTTTTTATTTAACAAACCATGCCAGGAAACTCCTACAATTCGAATTCAAGACTTTGTTGCCTAAAACCAAAGTATTCACTAGACACGCCAGTACAATTACTGAGTGGGTGTTCCGTTACACTGCAAGAAAATATGGTGCCGGCAACTGGTACTTCTTGTTTGCTTTGGTTCTCTGGAGAAATCAGCAAATCTGATAAGATTGCTGATATCCTTGAACCTTTCATTATTCCCAAGTGAATCTATTATATTATATTATTTATATTACATATATTATATCACAGTTAAATCTCCTGTATGTTGCATCGACAACTTGCAACTGTATCATCGCATGAAAATAATGTCACTGTGACAAAAGGAAAGTCTTAGAGCTGCTGTGAATTTGATCCTACCTAGGGCAACAAAAAAGTGTATCTCAGGTGCGTCAGTACAATGGACAACCATGAAAGGACAGCAGAGGAGATACCCGCACACCAATGCAGCTGGGCTGGACAGCCCTAAAAAAGGTTCACAGGCTGAGATCAATGCAAAAAGAAAAGAAAAAGGAAGTCAATTTATTTACACAAAAAGAAGGATGTTCAAATTGCAAAAAAATAATAAAATAAATAAATAAATAAACATAAAATAAATAATAAAAAAAAAGTTAAAAAAAAATTTAATAATGAAATAATAAAAAATAATAAAAAGTGAATAAGGACAGCAGCAAAATTTGAGTCCTTGACTATTATCAGTGCCTTCTTTTTGTGCACTGATGTCCTTAATAAAATGACTAATAAAATGAAAACTATTACAATTTGCATTGATCTCAGCTTCTTAACCTTTTTTGCTGCTGTTCAGCCCAGTTGCATTAGTGTGCAGGTATTTCCTCTGCCATACTGTGACAAAAGCACATAACATCAGGATGTTAGCTTCGACCACCTACTGTAGATCAAGAGCATTTCAAATCTCTGCTAATTTATTTTTGTACTGTGCTGGTCTGAACGGTAACCATCAGTTCTGACTCACAGTTGTTGTGACTCTTGTTTACCTGAAGCTTGCATACATTGTTGTTTTTGATATATGTTTCAGCCCCACCGTGCTTTGATTTTGGCCTACCTGGTGTCCTGGGCATTGCTTTTGGAGGGTTCCTGATTGGAGTTTTACTTATCGGAGCACTGTGGTTTATCAGAATTAAAACAGGTACGTATGACTCACAGTGTTGTGTTTCTAAGTTGATATTTGTCTGGATTTTTTATTGTATCATTCTGTTTATGTCAGGGTACCCAACTGGATTGGACAAAGGCTCAACCGCAGCAAATCTTCCCGGTGAGGCATTTTTCTTTTCTTTTTATTTGGTCTTTCCTTTTCATCAGGATCTTATTTGCCTCTCTCTCTCATCTTTCCTCAGGGTGCCACTGCTCAGGAGCAAAACGACAACCTGTCTCTAACAACCCTTCCCCCTCTGAGAACAGCAGCGCCAACGCAAGCATTGGAAGCACCCAAAGTACACCGACCAGCAGCATGGCATGAGATTATGGTAATCTCCACCACCAGCAGAGCTACCGTCTCCCTTCAAAGTCACCTATACGGGTTTTGTGCTTTTGTTTTCTTTAATAATGCTTAAAAAGCATTTCTCCCCTCCCTGCCCCATCAAATTCTCATTAAAAAGCACAACCCACGTCTGAGACTCACCAAGCCTGAAATGGATGTGATCTGGGAGTTTGTAATGGTGGATCAGGGAAGGAGCTGGGTGACGGATAACAGAAGTGTAATCAATGGCCTCTGATGCTCACCTCTGCAGCCTCTCTGTAATGTCAAGCTCCTAGACAGGAAGTTAAAGAGGGCAGGAGAAAAAAAAATAAATTGGCTCCCAGCAACAGGAAAAACAAACCATATCCCCCAAGAGCTAACAGGAAATTCACTGCATTCCATTCGATGAATTGTGCTTGTGTGATGGCAGCACAATAATAGTTAGACAGGAGACAGACCAGTCAAAAGACCGACTTTGAAAAACAGATGAAAAGCTGTTTTGCATTCACATCTAAGCTATAAAAATATGAAGGGCTTTCGACTAGGTCGGTCCCAAAAGTTATCAACAACGTCTCGGGGACGGAAAAGCTCAACATGTCAGGATCTCAAACCAGTCAATGAAATGCTCACTTCAAGGGGTATTTGTCTTAATTGGAGTTCGAGGTCAATAGTTAACAGCTACCTCCTATTTTTTAGAAGTCTGGAGCCAAGTGTGAACTTAAAACTAGACTTCTCTGGTGAATTGATCTTATTTTCTGCCTTTTTCAATTTATGTTTTTATTCTGTGTCACTTTAGGTGAATCTTGGAGTTGACCCTCTGGGTCATTTGTAGCTCATAAACATAGCCATGGTGCCATTTTTATGCTATCCAATAGCTGTATCAGGGCCTTCATATCAAGGTTTTTTTCTTCCAGTGTTTATTGAAAGTTACAAATATACTTGATTTCCTAATTACTCAACAAAACCAATCCCAAAATTAGATTTATGGCCCGAAGGTTTCCAATAAATCATGAACCATCAAGGGAAAAAAGTACTTTTATTTATGTGAGCTGAGAAGTAATCACTCCTGTAATGTACAGCACAGCATGCAGAGATACATGGCTGTATTCAGAGCTGAGTAATGTGCCCATAATGAGGAGTCAGTACTAAAACTCTGCACATCAGTCATCAGACCCCAGACTTAGGTATGGACTTGAGCACCACTCATACAGCTACACCCATAGGGTGGAGTTTCCCCAAAATAGTCTGTCTGAAGGTGAAACTCCAGTACTTTTCCTTTGCACAATGTCCATTCTCAGTCTGTTACCACTGCCTGATAATTTGTTGTAATCACAATTTTTCACTTGAAATGGCATGTCTGTGGTAATATGCACAAACACATACATACAACAAGACTCTTCATTATCACCCTGTGTACCTCCATGCAAATGTTCACAGTGAATAAACCATCACTTTTGGTGTATTTCAAGATCAAGACATTAAGCAAGTATAAAGTGTCCAACCTGCTTGCTCATATTCAGTGTCTTGTCATTCAAAATGTAGCCAGCTACTGCTCTATCTTTTGATGCGAAACAACAGGGAAATCATTTTTAGACCTCTAATGGATGATATGGATCGATGTGACCAAACTCCAGAGCCCAGTTGTTCAGAAGTAATGTGATCGGATCAGATTGGATCAAAGCCTTAATGGGTTATTCAAAAGAAAAAAAAGAAAACAACTCTGAAATTGTGTTAGATCACATAACCCTGTCACAGTTTTGGTTTTGATAGAATCAAACCTCCAGTATGTGTTGTTCAGAACTTTTTGGTAGGACTGGGATCTAAAAAAGTCTGAATTATTCTGATCCCAGCAGGAGAGTGGATTCGGTGTGGCTTTGAGGAACAAAATGTAATAAAACTTTTAAACTTATCAAGCACAGTAAAGTAAAAAAAAGTCCCCCTAGAACAATCCCCCCCAAATAGCTGTCTGTATCAAACCCAGAGCATTTAATTTAACTTTTGTTTATCACATTATATTAATTACAATGACACAGTCAGACCTAGTTTCTAACAACCGCATTCCCCATGCTGCTTTCTGTCTCTTCTATTACACTTAACAGTTAAAGTGACCCCACGCTGCCTGTTCTTCCTGTTCTCTACATAGTTAGTAGCCTACATTGTGATATATAGTCCCATTCAGCACTGGTTATCTGTGTTTGGTAATCTTAAAAAGTTTGTATGTGGGTCACGATGATCCAATCCAGAGACTGGCACAAAAGTAAGATGGACTGATTGGGTGATCCTTGTTAGCAGAACATGGGCTCATGGGATTTTAAAATCTGGACCATTCTGATCCTGATTGATGATAAGTGTGATGTTTAAAAATTAAATATTGATATTATGTTAGTAATACAGATGTGATAAAATCGGGGGAATAATCCAGCGCCTGTTAAATCATTCCTGTTTCTTTCCATTCTCGCTTTGTCTCCCTCCCACAACGCCATCTGGTTGCCTTTTCACTAGCCATTAATTTTAATTGCTCTTTTTGTATGCTTTGTTGCAGTTACGGTTACAGACTCTCTCCTCATCTCACTGCACTTGAATTTTGAGTGTAATTCATTTGCCAAAATAAAAGAGACAAAATGCGCCGTAAACAAAGTTAAAGTTGAATTTGACAGATAGCAATATTAATATTTAAATTTCCATATATAATCGCGATAATACCCGTATCGTGAACTCCTATAGTCTTAATAATTGTGAAGTGAAAAACTGATATTTTGACAGTCCCACTTTAGGTACAAACAATAGGCTTAAATATTCCATAATGAAATTCACATTTAATTAGTTTTTTCTTTTGCAAAAAGAAATTAAATCTGTAAGATTTAAAACAAATGTTTGGGCTACAAAACCCCATTTCCAGTTGAAAACTGGCAACCTCAGTCACGTTGACTGTGCATATGTTGTATTGAGATATATCTATATTTCCAAAACTGAGTTAACACCAGCAAGCTCCCCAGCCTTTCCCTTAAACTTTGCACATAAGTCACCAGCTCTGAATACAGCCTATTTGGTTTATATAGTATAATCAATAGTAGCAACAGAACATTCAGTTGTGCTTTAATTCCATGAAGACTGCTTTCAAAATCCAGCTCTAGCTTTATTTCCAGCTGTCACATGGCAATAAAATGGAAACTGTCACTTGACAGTAAAAAGTTTCAGTAACACTTTACTTGAAGGTATCTACATAAGAGTGACATGACATTGTCATAACTATGACATGACATGGTTATGAACCTGTCATGAACATTATGTACATGTCATAAACATTTATGACTGCTGTCATTAAGTGTCATTCAGTTTTTGTCATGACAAGTTGACATTAAATTGTTTGGGATGTCCTTATTATGACAACTTGACATTAACCAGGATGACATTACCAGATGTCTTTGTCATAACAACTTGACATTAAGAAATGCACCTCTTTTTGTGTTTATGACAAGTTGACATAATGATTATTATTGTCATGACAAAGACATCCTCTGGTAATGTCATCCTGGTTAATGTCAAGTTGTCATAATCAAGACAACCCAAACAATGTCAACTTGTCATTATAAAAACCAAATGACACTTGACCGAATGACAGCAGTCATAAACGTTAAGACATGTACATAATGTTCATAACAAGTATAGTGTATAGTTATGACAGTGTCATGTCACCCTTTGGTAGATACCTTCAAGTAAAGTGTTACCAAAGTTTCTTGTTCAAATTAGTCAACGTCTGCTCTTTACATTTGATAGGCTGCATCAGCCACTGCAGTGCTAATGCTAGACAGAAGCTCCACAGATGCATAATGAGGGCTACAGCTGCAGAGTGACGGTTGATCCATGAACCCAATATTTGTTTCAATGTACAAATGTAAATGTATTTTATATTTTTTATCGCCACTCTTTACCTCTTTAAAAATATTCCCATCGCACGTCAAGTCCTGTGGTGTAAAGTGAGCAATCTGTATTCACTTGCTTTAACACAAGCACCAAAATTGTGACGTTAAAATGTTTCTTTATATACATTTGACACACTGATTATGATTTAACATGCATATATATTTACTCACCTTCTGATTTGGTTCAAAAATAATCTATTTACCATCAAACCTAATCTCAAAAATATTTTCCAAATGTCTCCGAATTGTATGTGAGCTGTGTAGCTTATTACCCCCCCTCTCTAACTCAGCGTGTATGTGCATGTACGTTTCTCTGTGCATGCCTCATTTTCTTTGTGTATTTGTGTCGAGACAGAGAACAAAGAGGGCCAGTACAAATTGCCACTTGAGTATTTGTGCAATATGATGAGATAAACTTGTATGAAATGTCCATATGTATTTTTTTTCTACCATGTTATTTTTTTTTTGTAAGTGTTGTATGATATTCTTACTTTGAACCATTTTCTTAACATATTTTGATCCTCTACGTATTTGGAGAACTGGGACAATTCCTAATCAAGGCACTTATCAAATGCATAAGATTTGTTTTGTATTGTAATCTTTGTCTTTTTTTATTCTCTTATAGATTTGTGTTCCGATTACATTGTATTCACAGACAGTGCGTGTCACCTCACATGTCAAAGACAGTACATTTGGCTTGTTGGTTTTTACCTCTGACTTTTGCGCTAACCCTAAGATTCCCCTTCTGTCCAAAAACATGGCATATCTCTGCTGATCCTGACATCCTGACATTGTATTGCGCTCATTGTACTATCTTCAGTGGGTGTGATGGGGAAGTACATTCAAAGACGGAATGTCTCACCGCGGAGAAGCATCCGAGCGAAATATTCAGCACTCATGAACTTGTCTTTTGCAGGGAACATTCCAAACTTAAAACAGCGAAAATGCGGTGGTTAGTGAGAACTTTTTCATTTAATTTTAGGATTTCTTTTTTTTAAAATGTCAGGTATTCTGTACCTGTGCTAAAGCAGCCCCGGTGATGGACAGGTTCTGTCTGAGCACTGACAGTAAAATCAGACAGGCTGCCACTTAATTCCCTTGTTAACCCTGCAGATCCCTTCGTTACCTCTGACAACAGCCTCCTCCTCCTCAGACACTCTACACAGTTAACGAAATGTCTGTGTGTCTGTGTAAGGCAGTAAATGTACTGTATGTGTGTGCGTGCGTCTGTGTGTAGGTGTACAATAGAATCCGTGCCTTCATTTATGTGAGCGGATCCTTCCTCCAGTCTCTTAACAATGTCCGAATTCTGAATTCTCACCAAGAGAATCTGAAGCCGTAACAACACATCAGAATGTCTGCTTTGATTTTAGCGAGTATAAAATGCAGTGTTACTTTTGTATCATTTAAAATGGGTCCATTTCTTGAGACAGTACTCAACTGATGTCACTACTATGTTGTCTCTGAAGAAATATACAGTATGTTTTTGTCCAAAATTATCTTAATAAAGTGAATATGACAACCATCCTTTGTGTCTTCTGGTGTCTTTCTTACATTGCACAGAGCATGTAGTGCAATGTAGAATGTAGTGTTGGAAAACACAAACTCCCAGGATCTCCCAGTAATATCATAGCGTAATAATACAGCACACATGGCAGAGCACTCGCACAGAATAAAGAGCCAGAAGTGCTACACACTCTAAACCACATTAATAACAGTTTCAAAAGGAACAATGAAGAATAATTTTAATTGAAGCATCATCAGCCTTGGGGTTTAATTGAAATGTTGTTGAACATGCTGTATGTAGGTGGTGAAAATGCCCAGTTATTTGTCTGGTCTTGTCTGCTGCATTTGCTGTGACATTTTCGCTTGTCAAATTGTCGCATTTTCTGCAGTAAGTGTGAGCTGCTTCTGTTGACTTTTCTGTCAGTGATTTGATGACACGTTCACATTAGCACAGGCTTTGCGAAGAGACGTCCGAAAATTAGCAACAGAGAGAAAAAGTTTCTTTCAAGTACATGTCTGGTGTGGCATAATGACTAGTAACAGGGGATCTTAGAGTTTCAACACATAAAATCCAGATTTTGTGCCACAGTGTGTAGCCCACACTACAGGAGACAAGATCAAAACCTGGACTGCAAGTGTTTCTGACTCAAAAGATGAGATTTTAAGACCTTGAAAACAAAGCATGTCCTTAAAGCTCCAGAAATGGTACATAATATATTACCTTAGAATGAGCCATTTTTATCTACTTTCAAAGTGGGTCCTCTTCCATGTAGTCCACCATGTTGTTCTACAGTAGCCCAAAATGGACAAACACTCAGCTACTCACTACAGCTTTGCAGGTTTGCAAGTTTCAGTTCTGCAACCTCGCCACTAGATGCCACTATATCCTACACACCAGGGTCTGGTGACACAAAACACCTACAGTTTGTTTCGTAAGTATCACACTAATGCTTACGAGAAATACCTCGCCAATAACTGATAGGAAAGATTCCGTTGCAGAAAACTGCAGAGCAATCATTAATTGTAAAGGTGCTGGAAGAGAACTCCAGATGGTCACAGCCATAAATTGACTTGCGGTCAAATTTTAAGCACAAAATCATTTGCGTCATTAAGTGTTTCCATTGGGTTCTCCTGGTTGCCGAACACCCTTCCTGGGATGCCTTTTTATTCCTCATTTATCTCCATAAGCTCAGTCATGCTGCAGTTAAGATGGAGTCAGAGGTACTTTATGTTTTTGTTCTAACTTTGGTTACTAAGGTCCAATGGTTTAACAAACTTAAAGCAATTCCAACATAGTGAGAAAAAGTTTATCGTTAGGTCAACATTTTAAGGAAACCTTAAGAAGAACCCCCAAGGATATTTTGCACAACTAATTTTATCTCAAGGAAACCTTAATTCAGACTTCAAGACAATCTTAACCTAAGGTGCTTTGTGCAACTGGCCCCAGACCTCTAAACCTGCATAGGAATCATGACCTCACCTAAAGTGGAAGTTGTAATTTGTAGCATTTGGAACATAGCATCAACTTGTCTCATCAGTGGTGAAAGAAGTATTTAGATTCTTTATATAAGTAAAAGTACCAAAACCACAATCTAAAAAAATACTCACTGACGAATAAAAGTTCTGCATTCAAAACGCCACTGAAGGACATACACAAGTAAAGTAAGAAATTCTATAAATGGAGAAGTGATTGTGTACCTGTCAGTGTTGTGTTATTATGTACATGTTACTGCATTACTATTAGTCACGTGTTTATGTGTAAGCAGCATTTTACTTTGGTGCTGGTTGACATGGGTCTAATTTTATACAACAGCATCATCTGCGTAGTAACTAACTGCTGCTGTCATGTAAAAAGCATAGATTTCACCCTGAGGTGCAGTGGAATAGATGTATAAAGTAATATAAAATGAAAATCCTTCAGCACTTCAGTATGTGATGGAGTAAATATATTTCGTGACATTCCACCACTGAGCAACATTTTTAAAATCTGTTTTTGTCACAATTTCAGATTTTTTTCACAGATTAGTTGCTAAAAATAGAACGTAGCATCTGTGCTTTCATGTGAAATTGTGTGTCATTCAAATCATAATAATGCTAAAAATAACTTTATCTTTATGTCTTATTACATTTATCTGATTCAACAGAGCTAACCTTATGACTGACCTGAAACACAATGGGCTCAAAGAATCCAAAACATCATACGACAATGGTGTTATGAGTCATATATAACCTTTATTGTTGGGCAAAATGATGAAAATAATGGTGTTTTCTTCCATCTCTGGCTTTTCCTCAGGTCTCAAGTCTTCCTTCTTATACACAAATTCAATCTTGCTTTCAGCGCTGGAGCCAAGGCACACAATACATGTTTATGGGCTGCCGTCATCTCCAAATATGACCATGGAACCATTTGGCCTTGCACAGGATACATTATGTGACGTGTGAGTCTATGTGTGTATGTGCTGCTATGCGTGTGTGCTTGCTTGCTTGCCAGTTCAGGTTGTTTACGTCTCGGGACAAATCTGTTCTTTTCTGCAAAATTGTGCCTGCTGAAATGTGTTTGTTATCTGTGCATAAAGCATGCTACAATGACCTCAGGGCAGAACCAGCCTTCGCAGCTCTGTTCTATAAAAATTAAGGTGTGAGATGCTAAGAGAAAAGAATTTTCCTTTTCTCTTGATGCCGTCACACAGTCTGTGTTTTTATATGTGAATAAAGAAACAGATGCCAGTATTGTATGGAGCTGTGCGCTCTAAGGATATTTCTTCTATAAACCTTCTGTCTCTGCAAATTTAATGTAAAAGATATTTTTCCTGAAGACAAAAAGGGGAAATATGTTGGCTGTGTCACTGTGTTGTTGTTG